GTCGCATGGTTTGTCGAGAGGTGTTTGACCTGTCGAAGGGTAAAGGCCGAACACCAGAGACCGCATGGCAAGTTGCAGCCATTGGAGGTTCCCGAATGGAAGTGGGAACAGATCACTATGGATTTCATCACCAAATTGCCGAGGACTGCCAGAGGAGTCGATGCAATTTGGGTGATTGTGGATAGGTTGACGAAGAGCGCTCACTTCCTTGCCATCAGTGAGAGTTCTTCGGCGGAGAAGTTGGCGGAGATTTATGTGCGGGAGGTTGTATCTCGGCATAGGGTGCCGATCTCGATCGTTTCAGACCGCGATGTGCGTTTCACCTCCCGCTTCTGGAAGAAATTTCATGAGGAGTTGGGGACTAAGCTGCATTTTAGTACCGCATACCACCGCCAGACCGACGGCCAGAGTGAGCGGACGATTCAGACACTTGAGGACATGCTTTGGGCATGTGTATTGGACTTTGGGGGTAGTTGGGATACGTATTTGCCTTTGGCGGAGTTTTCCTACAATAACAGCCATCATTCGAGCATCGGTATGCCGCCCTTTGAGCTGTTGTATGGTAGGAGGTGTCGGACTCCCATATGTTGGGGAGAGGTTGGGCAAAGGGTAATGGGCAGTACGGAGATCGTGAATCAGACGACAGAGCAGATACAGCTGGTCAGACAGAGGTTATTGACCGCTCAGAGCCGACAAAAGAGTTACGCGGATAGACGCCGGTCCGAGCTGGAATTTCAGGTCGGCGACTTTGTTCTCTTGAAGGTCTCTCCTTGGAAAGGAGTGATCCGGTTCAGGAAGAGGGGAAAATTGGGGCCCCGGTTTATAGGTCCGTTTCGTGTGATCGAAAGGGTAGGACGGGTAGCCTATCAGCTGGAGTTACCAGCAGAGTTGGGGCAGATTCACAACACTTTTCATGTATCACAGTTGAGGAAATGTATAGCCGACGAGTCGGTAGTGGTTCCATTAGAGGATATTCAGGTAGATGCAAGCTTGAATTATGCTGAGAGACCAGTGGCTGTTAGGGATCGGAAGATCAAGATTTTGAGGAACAAGGAGGTACCTCTGGTATTGGTACAGTGGCAACATCGGAAGGGATCAGAAATGACCTAGGAGCCGGAGGGTATGATGCGGGAGCAGCATCCGGAGCTATTTTAGAGCGAGACTTCGAGGGCGAAGTCTAGTTCTAGTGGGGGAGAGTTGTAACATCCGGATTTACCAGGTATTTTGTAAATCTAATTTTGTCATATTGTGAGAGGGACTCGGCGAGTTGGAGCTCAGACTCGCCGAGTAGAGACGCGGAATTGAACATTGGTGCGCGCCTGGACTCGGCGAGTCCAGGATATGGACTCGGCGACTGAGTCTAGCTGGACTCGCCGAGTTGTTCTTGAGACTCGGCGAGTTGAGTTGTGGTGGCCCCACAACTCGTGCCAGGTGGAACTCATCGAGTTGAGGGAATGCTCGACGTGTCAAGGGAGGATTCCAGGGAAATTGGTGTACATGCCCAGACTCGCCGAGTCGCCTGGGTACTCGCCGAGTCCGGTCAAAGTTGACCGTTGACCGTTGACCAGCGTTGACCTAGATTGACTTGTTATAGTGTGGTAAACCCCAGTGGGGAAAGTGTTAATTAGAGGTGTGTTGTGCTATAGGGGGGCGACAGCTCGACAGGTCGAGTGATTAGCGATTTCAGGTTTACGATTTACCGAGACACGCGAGGTGAGTCTTCTCACTATACTTTACCTTGAGTAGGTAACAAGAGTTATTTGATAGAGTATTGGTATGCTATATATGTTATGTGTTGTACTGTATTACTTCTATGTGTTTGATGCTATGCATGTTTACAGAGTTAGAACCGGAAGGTTCACAGAGTTAGAACCCGAGGGTTCACAGAGTTTGGGTGCACGGACCCACAGAGTTATAGCCTCGAGTGGCTAATATGTGTTATATGTAGTATTTTGGGGAACTCACTAAGCCTTGTGCTTACAGTGTTAATGTTATTGTTTCAGGTACTAGTGACGACCGCGGGAAGGCGCCGGCTTGATCCGTATACACACACATTCGGAGCTTGATATCATGATCTTGGGATTTTGTATTGTCTTGTTTGGATAATTAAAATGGTTGTTTAATGAGTATCTATGGAATTATGTTTTATAAAAATTGAAAATTTTGTTTTGAAAATTTTCGGTGTTACATATGAACTTTATTACACTTTAAAATTATCAAGAAACATAAGATTAAAGGAGTTTACGGTGAAGGATGTTTTTAGGCCGTAAACCAGTCTTAAGGAGGTTAAATGGACCCTAGTCCCTTCCTAAGCCTTGGATGCTAACCTTGATCCTTCCTAGAAGTGATGAACACCTTAAACAACACTCAAAACAAGTCCCCATAAGATTTTACGGCCGTAAACATATAAGGATATGGTCCATAGACCGTAAACTCTACAAATTACTCTTATTATGCCCCTAATGCTTTCCTAAGGCTTGGACTTGATCATTGGATGCTCATTCATGAGTTATAAGACCTCAAGACACATTATGGCACTTATTACCAAGAGTTTACGGCCATAAACTCATGGGGAAATTACCATGGGCCGTAAACTCCTTAAGGAGTGGTCCATGGGCCATATACTCCAATGTCATGCCATACAACCCTTAGATGCAACCCTTTGGTACCTATAACACTTGAATCAAAGTGTTTCCATGTCCTAGGGTGTCTTAACCTTATTGATTAGTTGTTAAATGACTAATTTGATACATATATATTTATTATATGTTAACTTGGATCATTGTGTGTGTTCAAGTCTTCACTTGACACCTAGTACCTTGTCCAATACTTCCGTACAAACCACTCACTTCAGGTGAGTTCATACCCCTTAATTAACCTTTTAAATGTTTTAAATGCGTTTATGGGGGGGGAATACAAGTGGAACCTTGCTAGTTATTAGATCAATCACATGTGATTAGTAACTAGCATACAAATGGATTTTTCATACTTTAAACTGTTTTACCAAACAAATGACTTCAAACTGCTTATCAAACTATTTTACATGTTCAATTCTTTATCAAATTCACTTTTGTATACTACACCTCTCTTTTACAGCTTTCAAACTTATATTTTGTTAAAACCATGTCTACTACCTATATAGTTATACAAATAAGGTTTGAAGGACTTAGAACTGATAACCCACTTTACTTCCTATCCTTGTTTGGTTCTGGACTTAAAGTACCCGGTTGTTTGTCCGAGTGTCGTTGAATCCTTACTTATATTTTGTATATATGTATAGATATAAAGACTTTTATCTCAGTTCAGTACATTCAGTCATACAAACAAGTATACTAATAAACTATAATAGGTATAGTATAATGTTATACTACTTACTACTTCTAGTCCAATGAAGCATACAAGAGTCAGTTCATTCATGAGTCATTACTTACTATCATGAGAACATATACAACTATACTATGATGAGAACATATACAACTATACGATGATGAGAACTTATACAACTATACTAGGATGAGAACATTTAAAACGATACTATGATGAGAAACAATACATTCATTACACAAGTACATACATTACATATACAAGTATACTATAACATAAATTTGCTCCACTGTATCAGAGCATACCTTCATTGTCATGGCCCGAGTTGTAACCTGAATCTCCTAGAGGGAGAGCGTGAGTTTGCGTATAGATCTATACTGGATTCACTCTCCTAAACCTTACTACTAGTTACGGTGGGACCTGTAGGTGTTCGGGTGCCAAATTTCATACCTTTTGAAAACTTACATTGTCGTGTTTCCCAGTCGACAGTATGGTACAATTAATCACATAATACCTTGATATAAATCTAGTTTAAGGTAGTTAGTACAACAGTAGTTCCTATATTACAACACTACAATACTACATTAATTTACCTTTTACATTTATTTGGTGATCATTTCACTTAAACATTAATGTACAAACTATATTTTAATAATGATAGTTACACTTGGGAAAATTACACACTTTTACAAGAAATAAACATACAAAATAGTTGTGCCTTGGTAGAAGGCTAGTTTTAGTAGAAAATATAGGATTTTCTAAGAGTTACAAACTTTTACAAATACTTACAAACATTCACATACTTTTACTACAAATGTTTACAAACCTGTACTTCAAATATTTTTTCAAACATTTTGAAACAAACATAGACACTAAATACTTATGAACTCACAAGCCTTAATGCTGATAAACTCTTTCAAAATAACTTGTATTCTCAAGTCATCAGTAGACATGTACCAATGCCAACTTTTGAGAAGATGGATCACATACAAGACTCATCTTATATTTTGATTCATATTTTGGGTGTCTTGTATAATACAGAACACACTTGTATTAAAATTATATATTTAATGCAATGGATGATGTTGTTTACTTGTTTACTATTATACTGTGTTGTGATACTTTACATGACATCCTCCGCCCCAGAATGTTTCCGCCGTTCTTGGTTTTGGGGTGTGACATGAGAAAATACCCCTTAACTAGTATTATAGTAGCATTACATGATTCTAGTAGTAGGGTAGCATTGCATTTGCTTGGTAGTCCTTTTTTTTGGAGTTACAGGCTTCTAATAAATTGTTTTCGGCTGCATTTGACTACCATATAAAGGGTGGACATTATAAGTGTAGCTTGAAAGGAAACTTTGTTTGCTAAAACAAGGTTCCACACACGACTCTGCATTATGATTTAAGTATGCAATTGCAGCCAAGCCATGCAAGCATGGGATACCACTCAACTGCCAACTTCTACATTCACATACCCTTCTGTTTAGATCCACAACAAATGCATCATTACCAAATCTTATTTCAAATTGATGATAGCCACTTCAATAAACTCCCCAAAATCTGTAAAAAAAAAAAAAGCAGGTTAACACCCCAAATGAAATCAATCATTAACTAATGTAAATTTAAAACATTATCTTACTCACCTTTGAGTTATATTATTATCTTTTAACTCCCTTATACAAAGAAATCCTTTAACCAATATTTTGGTTCCCTGTCAATAAGATGATCATAGGCATTGGGGTTTAATTTCTTAATTCCATCAATGGCTTCTTCAAACTGTGGTACAGTGGTACTATTTACAGCAGCCCAAAACAATTTCCTTTAATGTTCACCATCAAAGTTCTTCTTAAAATTAGCATAGATGTGCCTAGCACATTGCCTATGCTCAGCTTATGGAATCCTTTCCTTCAAAGTTTCTAACAATCCCTATAAAAATTAAAACATTTTGGTGGATGTAAAACATAATGTGAACCAATTAAAAAATAAAAAGAAAAAAGAAAAAAGAAAGCAATCTAATACCTTATGTCCATTTTAAATGATAGTAAGTCCACTACCATTTCCCCCTCCAATGTCAACCAGGAGAACGTCAGGAAACCACTTCCAATTAACTTTATTCTCAACATTTACCACAACCCATGTGATAGGATATATGTTGTTATTTGCATCTCTATCCACTGTTGCAAGAACCTTACCCTTACACAAGCCTTTAGGAAACAACCATCTACACAAATCACCTTTCTATATCCCTCTATCCAACCATCCCTAAAACCTTTGAAGCCGGCATTATACTTTGAAAATTATATTGTTGAGTCATGCATGATGTCCACATCTATTCTTACCGTAGACCCTGGGTTCGACCTCATAATCTCCTCACCATAAGCCCACAACCTTGCATAATTCTCAACCAAAGTACCTTCAATCTTACTCAATGCAAACCTTTTTGCATTTCTACACCACCATAAACTAGCATTAATATTAATTTTTTTGGAAATTTTAGCTTTCATTTTCCTTAAGCTCATTTTTGGTCTTTGTAATATTTCATTAACAAAATGCTTCCCAATCTACCTATAACTCACAATTGCTCCAATTTTGAATGACATGGAGCAATTGTGATTATATTTCGATGACATAATTTGAAAATAATATTTGTCCTTCATCCAAGTGGACCAGAGTCTAAATGGACATTTATGTGTTGAAACTTTACTACATTTAGCTAACAACTTGTTCTTATCACTTTTTTCATACCATAAATTGTATCCATGTCTAACAACATAATTACTCAGTAAACATTTAAGCTCACTGGGGTCATAAAACTTCATACCTAGTATAGGAACCATCTTCTTCCAATTTTGGTTTTGATCATGGACATGATACGTTGGTTTCACATCAACTTCTTCGTCTGTTGCATCTGTGTTGGAACCATCTTCTAGTTTCTTGTTAGGACAAAGGGCATTAAGAAATGAATGATCAAGTGGTTTCCTACTTGACACCACGTCATCCTCTTCATGGCCAGGTAAAATCGTGTCCGAAAATGTAAAATCATCAACTTGGTCTTCATCCTTTACAATTGAATCATATTTATCAGGAATCTCCTCCTCGATCCAATTGAAAATGGATTCATTGTACTGATCAATGTACATATTAATTCTTATTTCTTGGATTCCATTACCAACCTTAAGGAACTCTCTATAATCTCCTTCATTCTAAATTACTCCTAGCCCTTCACTCAGCCTTTCATGTGGAAGATAGTAGGAAGCATCCTTGCAGTTGATCTTCTTTGTGAGCTTTTCAAGAAATGTAATGAAATCTTAAAATACCATAGCATTGAAGTCGACATCTCGTAAAGATGCGATGTCTGGTTTGAAATATATAAGGGGGTTGGGGGGAAATACACCATTATAATGGACATCCACGATCAGGGATACTCCCTTCGTCATTACAGTTGAAGAAACAGAAAGGAATTTCAATTGCAAAGGTTCGACATTGAGAACGAAGAGTAAGGGGAATGATGGAACGAAGGAACGGAAGCGTTGGTTTTTTTGTTTACGAGACCTAATTCCAATTACCATTCATATAATGTGTCAAAAATGCCAAGTAGTTTCATATAATGCCACGTAATATAACATAATGATACGTAATATGCCAAATCAAAAAAAAAACATAAGATCATCAGTCATATTACCTTAATGTGTCAGATCAAACAAGGTCAATTGACAAATAGGTACGAAAAAACATTGTTACCTTAATGTGTACAGACCCTAAACTATGTTACCTTTCTATGTCATTAACTCGTGGAAAAAAGAGGCAAAAGACTTCGAACCTGAGAGATTTTGATACACCGAGGCATGCTCACTACTTTCAAGCCAACTAGGACAACAATAATTTATGTTAAATTTCAATGAATTTCAACTATATATACTTAACAACTCTATATATGTATATATATATATATATACACACACACACACACACACACTCACATATATATATATATATATATATATATATATATATATATATATATATATATATCAATTATAACAATTTTGACTTAGGGTCCCAAGCTTTCGTGAGGCCCGAGGCGGTCGCCCAACTTGTCCGGGCCTTAGGGTCGGCCTTGTGCAGTACATTGTTAAAGATCATCCAAAATGGCATGACACAAATTGATGCTTTGATTAATACAACCTTCGAAAAGGAAGAAAATGTTAAAAATTGGATAACTACAAGACTTCGTTCGACACATAACTTCTGAATGATTTTAACTAATAGGAGCCAGAAAATCTCCGACTGAAAGGAAAAAAAAAAAACCGCCCGCTTTTCGTCCTCCTCTATGGAAGAAATATGTGAGATATGCGTTATGGAATGTATATAATTTTAGTTTTGTTATTAATTTTTTGAAGAAATATCTTTTGTTTGGAATGTATTTAATTTTATTTTTGTTATTACTATTTTTTTGTTTTGTATATATCGGATGTATTTTCTAAATGGGTTATTGTCACCGTAGCCCAATAATGTTTCGTATATTTGTTTAAATAGTCCCTAGTCACTTTTTTTTGCCTTTAAAGGGTACAAGTTCATGTATTTAGGGTTTAAAAATTCCTTTTTAAAAAATGAAGGGCTCACCCGGTGAACCCCTTCCTAGTCAGCAGGTTTAAAGTTAAAAAAATGCCACCTCATCAAGTCTCTTATCAATTAAGCGCTCTGTCTCTATCTCTATCTCTCTCTCTCTCTCTCTCTCTCTCTCTCTCTCTTCCCCCTCATCCCTACATCATCGGAAAGCCCTAATTCCCCGTTTCCTTCCACCAATGACTGCCTTTATTATTCCCTTTACTCATTCCCAGCCAAGAACATATGGCTTCCCATCAAATTCACAACATCAATCGGTGGTTGCTATAACCTCAAAACCACCTTGCACCGTCACACCCTACCACCATTCCACCCCCTCTCTTTCTTATAATAAACACCCATTTCCTCTATCGATTCCTATCAAAAAATAACCCCAGCACCCATTCCATTCTTCAATTTTTGACAAGAACAATAAAGAGAGAGAGAGAGAAGGAGACAAAGAGAGAAGGAGATTTCATAGATTATTTCCTCGCACAACATATTCGTCACAAGCAACATGATATAACTCATTGACAGTTTTCACATAATAAACTCATGTGGATTCCCTCCAGACAAGGCGATTTCAGCTTCCAAATGCTTAAACATCCAAACTCCAGATCGAGCAGACTCTGTGATAGCATTTTTCAAGAATCAAGGTTTCACGGAAACCCAAATATCTCAATTAATGCGAAAGTTTCCTAGGGCTCTCACACGTAATCCCCAAACAAACATTTTTCCCAAATTTGAGTTCTTACGTTCTGTAGGACTTTCAGATCCTGATATTGTCAAGATACTAATTGGAAGACCCAAATCCCTTTGTAAAAGCTTGAAGAATAGTATAGAACTTACCTTTAACATACTTAGAGATTTACTCAAATCCAATGAAAAACCTCTTCTTGCAATCAGGAGGTGTGAGTGGGTCTTGGATTTGGATTCCCAAGCAAATGTGATTCCAAATATGCAATTATTGCGTGATTTTGGTGTGTGCCTGGATCAAAGATGCTTTATGTATTAACTTACCACCCTAGTGATATTTCAGATACTAAAGAATAGTTCAAAAAGGTCGTGGAAGAAGTTATGGAAATGGGTGTTGATCCGTTGAAAACAAATTTCATGTTAGTTATTCACGCACTTAGGTCAATAAGCAAGTCCACTTGGAAGAAGAAGATGTTGAATTTTCTTCTACCTGTTGATGATCAATGACTATTAACACCTCCATGGCTGGCCAAAGACAAGATCCCCTTTCCTTTCCATTCCATCTACCCTTGTTGCCAAACCACCCGACCCCAAGCCCTGTCGCTGATCGTTTCCTTGATCAACACTATCGAACACCTTTTCACAGCTCGCTACCACAACCGAAGCAAGAAACCTCGATGCCTTCCCCTTTCTTCCTTCCCTTCGGCCTCGTCAATCCCCATAGGCGAACATGATTGGCAAAGGCATCCAGAGTAGCAGATTACGCACCTACGTGCTTGCTTCTAGCCAATCATCGGTCGTTCCCCTTTGACTAATCGATTTCTATACCCTGATTTTCTGCTTTTTCAATCGATCACACATATGCGATCGTTCTTTCCCCTTGGAGCGATGAGGACCAATCGTTTTCCTCCCCAATCGATTTTACTTACGTGGCAACGATGAGTCGACTCACCAATTAGTCATTGTTGACTCACCTGTTTAGTTGGCAGGTGATAAAGGTAGTGTAACCTTCAAAAATAGGTAAAGATACCAAATTAACCGGTAAAACACAAGTTCGTACCGTTTAAAGGAAAAAAAAGTCACGAAAAACCATTTAAACCAATATACGAAACATTGTTGGGCTACAGTGATAATAAGACTTTCTAATTCTAGTTATGTAATTTAGTTTCTAATGAAAAAAAAAAACTTAATTATTAATTATTTGTTTGTTTAGTATACACATAAGTTTTTTATTCAATAAAAGGTTAGAAAAGAGAGAAATAAGAACTAAGATCATTGCAATCATATTTATGCATGATGTAATGATATTTAAGCATGATGTAGCAAGGTGAGCATAAAAATCGAAATAACCCAACCAAACCGTTATGACGAAATCATTGTGAAAAAGGTGGGTCGTTTTATATATATGTAAGTATTTAATTATATATTTAAGGAAATAACATGTTGAATAAATACTCACGTAACCTCTATGCCTGTGGGTCTCCCTCTCTATTTCTAATCTATATCCCATAGTCCCAACTCCAAATACAAAAACAAAAAGCGGGCTTCTTTCTTTTTTTAGTTATATCCTAACAAAAGTCGGAAGTAAAAAGTCCAACTCGAAGAAGCTACCAAAGACCAAAATCCAATCCCATTATAGAGTTGAAGCACCCCATTGTTATATATATATATATATATATATATATATATATATATATATATATATATATATATATATATATATATATGTTCAGATTCATTTGAGACTATTCTAATTTTGTAAAACCGTGAGTCCAGTTCTAAAAATAATTTTAAAATGCAAAAGAAATGGAAAAATCCAAAAAAAATCTTTTTTTAAATATTATTTTCGGAACTTGAATTAACTAAAAAAATTTTAAAAAAAAATAAATAAATAAAAAATAAATAAAAAAAATCCCATTTGTTTTTCAAAAATATGTGAAATATTCTAATACAATATTAAACTCATATATTCTAAAAAATAATTTTAAAATGCAAAATAAATGGAAAAATCTAAATTTTTTTTTTTTAAATATTATTTTCGGAACTTGAATTATTTAAAAAAAATAAAAAAAATCTCATTTTTTTTGAAAAATACGTGAAATATTCTAATAAAATATTACACTGTACATATTGTAAAAAATAATTTTAAAATGCAAAATAAATAAAAAAATCTAAAAATTCATTTTTTAAATATTATTTTCGAAACTTGAATTATCTGAAAAAAAAAAATTAAAAATTAAAAAAATCATGTTTTTTTTTTAAATATGTGAAATATTCTAATAGAATATTACACCATACATATTGTAAAAAATAATTTTAAAATACAAAATAAATGAAAAAATAAAAAAAAAAGTTTTAATATTATTTTCGGAACTTGAATTAACTAAAAAAAATTTTAAAAATAAAAAAATAATAAAAAAAATAAAAAAAATGCATCTCACGGTCTCACAAAATATAGGTGGTCTCAAATGAACCTCTATATATATATATATATATATATATATATATATATATATATATATATATATATATATATATATAAATCATTTTCTAAATATTTACTCTTACTTTTTCTTATTTAGTTTTTAGTTTTTAATGATAACAAAAGTCAGATGTCCTCATTACGTCTTTGATTTAAAAAAAGGAGTACTATTCAACAATGGTGTTATCCTCTTAATGAACCCTACCCTCCACTTGATACTGTAAGAGAAGAAGTTTCTGTCTCACTCTCTTATGTTTCCATCTTTTACCTTTCAAATACCCCCTCCAAATCTCCTTCTTCAATCCCGAGTTTCACTACTAGAGGAAAACGATCAATAGCAGCGACATAAGTTGCCGG